AGGGAGTGAGAGAGAGAGAGAGAGAGAGAGAGAGAGAGATTTATAGAGGGGGGGGGGGGGGCGGTGATGGTTCGATCCTCCCCAGAGTCGAACTGGCAGCCACTCGCACCAGGAGGCGAGGTGACCCAGAAAAGGCCAGAGTCGGGAGCAACCCTCGAGGTGGGTCGCTCATATACTCAACACGCCCCCACGACAGCACGAACGAGGAATGGGAATCGACGGATGCAACAAACGGAGTTCGAACCAGCAGCCAGCAGGAGGACCTTCCTGGAGCACTTCACAAGAAGGGGGTTCTTCGTCACTTTATAGCATACAACAACTAACATAACCATAAAGCTAACAAGAACATTTCGAGACGGTCGTCTGTGCGTTGCGTGTCATTTTGCCAACAGATTCCCCGCCGCTGTTGGGGGCGCTGTGCTTGCTTGATTTTGGAGGAGTGTGGGCGCCCATAGCTACGCCCTGTGGCGACGGGCCAAGCTGCCTCAGAGGTCCTCACAGCGAGGTTGACGCAACCGTATCGAGAGCGCCACCCAAAAAGGGGCGGACAGCCATGGAGGTCACCGAATGGAGGGCGAACGGCACGATGCGAAAAGGCAGGGCGAGGCGGATGGAGAAAGAAGTGCCGAGAAGGCCATGGTGGAGGGGAGGGACGGGAGGACGAAAGAAGGGCGAGGAGGACGAGCGGCCCGCACAGACCGCGAGCAGACAGCGCCTGCTGGCCATTTCGAGACATTCGCCAAGAACGCTAGCTACATGGGAGGGCTTCGTGAAGGATGGATTGAAAAACATTCGAACAAAGAAGAGGCGACGGGAGGAACCGGCGGAGGATGCAGTGACGTGAGACACACACACACACACACACACACACACACACACACACACACACACACACACACACACACACACACACACACACACACACACACACACCGCTCACCCACGCGCACTGGGCCTTGCACTTTGAATGCCGTGGGGCTCCTGTCGTCAGACGTGGAGACGCGAGGGTTGCCCCCCCTTGCCCCACCACCTCGTGTGTGTGGAGAAGTTTACCTTACCTTACCTTCGCGAGTTAACGTTTAAACACCCTTACACGAGGACGAGCGAACACGGCCCTCCACTGAAGCGAAACGCCCCGATTCTGGCATCCGCGAGATCTCGCCGATACAGAGCTCCATGGCATCAAGGCCCGCCGCCCGCGGCGAGAGCGTCGAGCTCGTCCTTGAGATGGACGCCGCTCGGCCGCCTCTCCTTGTCCAGCGCGAGCGCCCCTTCGTGCTCGCGCCCCGCGCCGACGAGCAGCGGCGCGACGGGCCAGCTGGCCGCCACCCGGCAGGGCTCGAAGGGCGATGGCACTCGGTGCGTATACACCTGCCGAAGAGAGCCGCGGTGAACGGATGATCGTGTGCAGCCGCGGGGCAAGGAGGTGAAGCGGGCGTGTCGCCACCGCCAGCGGAGCGACACGGGTGGACGCTCCCCTCATGACACACACACACGACTGCGCTAGCCTACTCCTTTCCGGGCGAGTGTGTGCCGCTGCCACCCTACCTCCAGCGTACCGAACCCAGTGTGGGTTCAGGTGCTGTGGGCGGTGCGGGGGAGTGGCTGCTCCTGCCACACGACGAGGCCGAACGAGTAGATGTCGGACGTCTCGTTGGCGCCCTGCCGCGCCAGAATCTCGGGGGCGGCGTAGGCGGGCGTCCAGCCGCCTAATCTCGGGTAATCTCGGGTAATCTCGGGTAATCTCGGGGGCGGCGTGGGCGGGCGTCAAACACCCGGCCGCGTGAGCGTGTTGTTGAGCTTCTTGGTGAGCCCCACATCGGAGAGCTTCGCCACGTTGTGCGCCTAAGGTAAGGGTAAGGTACCCTTCTCCACA